TGGTGATGTATTGGTGATGTATTGATCTCTCTGATGGAGTCCAGAGAGAGAGAGAGAGAAAGAGAGAGACTCTCAGTGACCTCTGGCTGGGGATTAATGCACATTAATGTACAGGTTGCTGCACGTAATCCAGCTCCAAATACACAACAAACTCTGGAAACGTTCACCTTGACTGACACAAAAACACACCAATGACAATAAAGTTGTATATCTATAACATAATAATATATATTTATGAGTCAGAAGCCCCATAGACACTGGCTCAGTTCATTTCAGCTCAATATTAATATCTACTTACAGAGACTTGACACTTGCTGCAGACAGCTGATAATTATAATGATCATTTTATATTTATTTATGCATATTAATGTCATGTCATGTGGTGATTTAGTATTATTTATTCAATATTTGTTACTATGCGTGCATTCAAGGATGCTCTGATCAGAGATTTCAGGCTGAACAGCGAACAAGAAACCTGTAATTGAGGCACAGCGGTGCTTTAAACTTAGTGCTAACTCACAAAGACAATGCTTACATGCTGATGTTTACCATGTTCACATCTTCACATAGCGTTGTAATGTTTAAATTCTTTCATAATACTGAGAGTTGCTAGTTCTCTGAAGAATTACGAACCCAGTGTGATGAATCAAACTCCTTTACTCATGCAGCACGGAGAGAAAACCACAGCATAGACGTTCTCTCCCTACCTCCAGAAGGCTCTCCCTTATATAACTCAACACATCATTAAAGCAGAAACACACCTGTTGTCCTATCTTCATTCCTAATCTAAATTACACATGAATGGTTGAGGTCTCTCACAAAAATGGTCCTTCGATCTGACCCTGTGACTGTGACCGAACGCTTACCATAAAACACAAACCATATATATTAACTACCCCTCCTAAAACATTCATCTACCGCAGAGTGTTAGCAAGTATCACTAAAGAATTCATCCTAAGGGAACATACATGTACAGAACTTCATCCAATATTTGTTGAGATATTTCAGCCTGGACCAAAGACAGACACTGACAGTCATCTACACTGAAGCATGTCTGTGATGGATTACCTTCCTGCAACCTCAAATCTCCACAAGTTTAATTTGTAATGCAGTGAAATGAAATGAAACTAAAAGCTGGAAGGAAGGAAATCCGGCTAATGGCACATTGTGTGCCCTCGTCGATACAAAGACCTCGGGGTGAAATTTTGTTTTCACATCCTGCGCATGTATGTCTCTCATAGAAAGCATGACAGATACACACAAAACACACAATATATGTATTTTAATTCATGCCCCTGCATATACACCTCAAGATATACACTCACACACAGGTATATACATCTATACTTACAGTTCTCAGTAATGTAAACACCCCCAAACATCCCCTGAATTCTACATTGTTGACTTTTATATTTATATGAATGGATTTTGCAACTCATTTTATTATTCTGTGTCTTATTTCTATTTTATTGATGCAGCTGTTTTTAAGACTATATTTGTGTAATGTTACATTTTGGCACATTGGCACCTTAAGAAATGAGCAGAATTACATATTAGCAGTTCCTGTTTGCAGCGTACCCCTGGATGAACAGACAGTTACTACTGAATGACTTTGATACTGAAGAAAAATTTAAGTTCTGGTAGTATTTATGCATGTTTATGAAGTCTGTGTGTCCAGATTTGACTGACTTAGTTTGGCAATCAGTTGCTAAGGCGTCCACTCTGTCCACCTCCGCCTCCTGCAGGCCAGACGCTGCCCAGGGAGAGAGCCTGATGCCCCCGGGTCCTTACATCAGCCACCGTCCCACACACTGAGCTGGAACATGCTATAGCCACCTGACTGCCAATCAAAATGATGGCCTCGGTGGTTGTCGGGGGCAACCGGAAGAAGTCGCTCACACTGAGAGGCGTGGACCCCGAGACCTGCATGATCGTGTTTAAGAACCACTGGGCTCAGGTAATCAACTACCGTCCTTTGTTCCTCTCATTATCAGTTCATCCGTCCATCGATCAATCGCCTCTCGGACAAAAACAATCTCACTTTCCTGTTGTTTTTTCGCCGCTCTTTATATCTGCTGTACCTCAGTGTCAGTCTCTTCAGTCTGTCCTATTTTCCTCATAATGGTTGGCAGACACAGAGTGCGATTGTGTGTGTTATTGTGTGTGTGTGCACATTACTGACCCAGACTTTGGCCCTTAAACACAGGATCCATTTAGAACAGACCTCTCTCTACGCCCGCCAAGAAAACCCACACACACTCCATGTCTGTGTGTGTATTACGAGTGTATTGTGTACTATGTCTGTTTGTGTACGTGTATGTGTGGTCCTTGTATGAAGCAGCCAATGTCAAAGGTTAACACAAGTCCAGACAGTGAAATACATTCTTCTCTTTCTCCCTTCTGATTCATGTATCAGTCCCTTGTTCACCCTCCCACAGCGATCTGTCAACTTACTGCATCTTAAATTTCTCATAATGATGAATTAATCTTTGCTGTTTCCAACATCTATTGACTACTGTTAGGAGTATTGTAACGTTAGGGAGTCGAGTCTGTTGAGATAAACAGTTGGTTTTCCATTAAAACAATGCAAGAACAGGAAGAAGGTGTAATTAAATTAATAATAACTGAAGTAAAAGAGCATCAGTCCAACCACAAACTAGAAAAACAAGAAGAAAACATTAAATTGATTCCACTGTCTTCCACCTCAGACAAATAGTAGACACTTTATTGCAATTTAAAGGTCCAGTGTGTAACATTTTGGAGGCTCTATTGGCAGTTTAGAATATAATATACCCGTAAAACTTCTAATAATAGCCCGGGCGTTTATTTGCTTAAATCACTGAACTCCCCCTGCCTTTATTGGGACAGGACTCTATTTGGAACAGGCCTCTAATTCCTTTAGTAGCAAATCCTTAATGGAAAAAACCTAAGCCCTTAATTCTGTACTGCTTCTCCTTTGAGTTTTTCGTTAAGTCAAATGTGCACAAAACTTCAGTAAATTTCTGAATGTAATGAATGAATGAAACGATGTGCAGCAACTCCATTCTTTGAACCAAAAGTTTAATCTTTAATATTTGTGTAACGCGATTCTAAAACGCGCTTTAAAACTCGCTCAAGGGGGCCACCTAGGCGCCTTTAAGAGGTTAACATCGAGAACTATCTATACCACCATCCACACCAGGCTTTTAAAGGAGACCTGCGTCTAATAGGGACCCTGCTTTTAGTGGAAGTTTTACGGTATATAATATCCGTATGTTTTCATTAGTGTATAATCACCTGAAAACAAGAATTGTTCTTCTTCGTTACCTTAGAACGAGTCCTTTTTATCTACAGAGGGAGCGGGTCCTCTTCTACAGAGGCCGCCATGTTAAACCGCCATGTTTCTACAGTAGCCCAGAACGATCAAACATCAAACACCGTCTCTAGATAGGGCTGTTCACCTTTTTTTGTGAGATTTACGGCCAGTTTCTCCGACATACTTCACAGACGTTTCTCATTCTCAGGTGGTCAACTGCAACTTCACCACTAAATCTTACATCTTACATCTCCAACGTCCCTCTCTCTGCAGGTGGTGAAGATCCTGGAGAAACATGAGCCGGGTCGTGGCGGCACCGGCGCACTGAGCTTCCTCTCCGGTCATGGTAGTAGCAGCAGCTCCGGAGCGTTACGCCTCGGTCCCATCCCGGCTGACGAAGCCAGCGCCGTCCAGAACTACGTGGAACACATGCTCTTCCTGCTGATGGAGGAAGAGGCGGGGCAAGGTAAGAGAACAAAGAAAGCAGCCTGTTTCATCACGCCACTGTGTTGTATTGTGTTTGTTCTCATGTCTGTTACTCACTGTTACCAGGAGGAGCGATGGGTCCTATCCTGGAGTTTGTGGTTCTGGAGGGCGTGATGGAGAGGCTGTTTCTGTGGAGCCTCAGGAGACAGTTTACTGAGGACATGAAGCTCGAGCAGCTCAGGATGTACCAGATGCTTCTATCTCAGGCCAGACAGCCTCTACTGCACCACAAACCGGTTCTACGACCGCTCATGATGCTGCTGGCCTCCTGCGCCGGAGCTGGAACTGGTGAGTTGGTGGTGAAATGGGAAATCTAAGCGTTCACCAGGGTTCTGACAGTATCCATCACATCCCTGATGATGGTTTGTAATCTTTACTAGACTCAGACAGCCTTCATTACCGTGGATTTCCTCCTTGAGGTGACTAATCAGTTTAAAGACCACCTTTGCACAACGCAGCGGGAGTCCCAGAGCTGGTTGAGCTGTCTAATGACAGCTAATTGGTATTAAGGGGTTAATTTAGAAGTGGTTGCACATGCTGTAGGTGTAGGTGGTAAGATGTTTAAACAGTTACCTGGGTAGTTAATCACCCGTGTCCCCTCTCCAGACAGCGGTAGTGTGGTGGAGGCGGAGCTGGTCCTCCTGTTGAACCAGCTTTGTGTGGCTCTGGTCAAAGATCCCTCCGTGCTGGAGCTGTTCTTCCACACCAGCGAGGACCAGGGAGCCGCCAACTTCCTGCTCTTCTCCCTGCTCATACCGTACACACACAGGTAGGTAACACACACACACAGGTCCGATACCAATGCTACACACACATAAAGGGTACCCGCACAGGTATACGACCAACATGTACACATATGTTGTCCGCTCGTTCACTCACAGGTAGGGTTACACACACAAAAACACAGGTAAGGTACATGTGTAGGGATATAAACAGCTGCATACACAAATATGACAATATTCAGTCATTGGATAAGGGTCATGTATTATATTTGGATATTCTTAAGTAGGACTTAAGAACAGGACATTTTCCGATTGGGACATGATGGATATGCGGACATTGTTTGGGTTTTAGAAGCATTCTTTGGACATTTATACACTGCATTTGGAATATGTGTCTCATTTGGGGTTTTTAACACAGTTTGCCTGTTTACAATCAGATCTGTTCGCTGTGAACCAACCAAATAGCCAACAGCTTGGAGCACAGATGCATACACTAAAGAAAAACCCACATTTCTGGTCAGAAGAAGAAACACACCTGCTTTTAAACATTATGAAAGACTTGTAAATCAACTGGTTTTTGGACATCTTCAAATATTGCAATGCCAACCTTTTTCAAGAAGGTGGTTGAATGAATGAAAGCGGGAGGCCGTGTTTGCACAGTCAAACAGTCAGACTGGAAACAGCTCCATCTGTTCCACGTTTACTACAACAGCAACATGACTGCAGTTTAGAAAGGAGGGAAAGGGAAGGACATTCCTCTGTAAGACTTCCAGTACGTCATTGACAGA